TATTGTTGGGTGGGGGAAACCCGAAAGGCTGGAGGGAGAGGGTGAAAGGGGAAAAGAGGTCAAGAGAGAGAGGTCAAGAGAGCTTGTGTGTGGGAAGCAGATCCTGTTATAGCCTTGCAGGGAGTAGGGACATGAGAGCAGTGAATCCCGTTAGGGTGGGGCTGGAGTGGGCGCTTGTGGTTGGGCCGTGTGGTTACCTGATTTCTAGCAAGTCAGGCTGGGCTTAGGACCGAAGCTTCTGTGCAAGATGGTGATGGGGAGCAGAGCCTAAGATGGCGCCGGGGGCTTAAGATGGCACGGGAGATAAGACCACACCGTTTTACTAACATTCCGTTTTTTTATATCGCAAATGTTGTATGGGATTGCATTGGCCCCAAAAGTCCAGGAGGGGTGGAGGAATGCTGATCTGTCTTCTAATGCTGCTTCCTGCTCTAATAGGGTGACAGGTTACTCTGCTGGTATGGGGTGATCTCTCAAGGCACAGTCTCCTGGGTAGGGAGTTGAGGATATCCCTATAACAGCATTTGGTTGACTGCCTGGTTGGTGAAGGCTTTGGTTTGTTCCATTACCACCTCCAGTAAACACTTAAACAGACAAGGTAGTATAAAAGCCGAGGTGAGAACAGCAACCAGTGGCCCTAGGAGCTTCATTAACCAAGTCATGAGGGGGCTCCATAGAGAGGAAGGGAGAGAGGAAGAGTTTGTAGAAAAAATTCTGAATAATCAAACAACAATTAACGATGTTAAAGATTCTGTCTCCAAATACAGAACATTCCAAGGTGCTACAGGTTTGGACTTAAAAATAACAATTTTTAGGGGAGCATAATTCTAACCTTAACACTTTTTATAAAATTTTTATGTTGCATGAACATTTCATATACACAAATACACTTAGGTACATGTGCAACATAGCATGAGCAGAGCATAATGGTTTTTCACATGTATATGCATATCCACAGGAAAAATGTCAGTTTGACATACATTCATGAATTCAGGAAATGGAAAAAGATTCCAATACTTACTTTTAAAATTTTATGGAATAAGGCCGGCTTTGTCGCCTAGCTTCCCCCTGCAAGGACGGCATCCCAAATGGGCACCCGTTCCAGTCCTGGTTGCTATACTTCTGGACCAGCTCTGAACCAAATGGCCTGGGAAAAGCAGCAGAAGGTTGTACAAGTGCTTGGGACCCTACCACCCACGCAGGAGATCTAGATGAAACTCCTAGCTCCTGGCATTGCTGCCATCAGGCGAGTGAATGAGCAGATGGAAGATCTCTCCTCCCTCCCTCTCTCTCTCTCTCTCTCTCTCTCTCTCTCTCTCTCTCTATCTGTATAACTTTCAAATAAGTAAATAAATCTTTAATATATATGTATGTATTATGGGATAGTACAGATTTTAACTAGTAAGCCTCAAGTATACATAGAATTTGTTATTAATGTTTAGATGCTAGTAATGCAAAAGTACCCAAAATACTTTTAGGGGTATTTGCCTGTTAATTCAAATTTGTAAGTTTGTATCCCTAGCATAGGCACCCCAATTATCTTTAAGAATTCCTACTACTCAGCCTCTTTACTGATGCTTGTTATGGCTTAATTTCTGCCTCCATACCTTTATATATTTATATTTATTTGGATCAGCAGGGCTGATCCAAAGCCAGGAGCGAGAAGCTTCTTCCAGGTGTCCCACGTGGATGCAGGGGCCCAAGAACTTGGGCATCTTCCACTGCTTTCCCAGGCTATAGCAGAGAGCTGGATCGGAAGTGGAGCAGCCGGGACTCCAGCTGGTGCCCATACGGGATGCTGGCACTGCAGGCGGCGGGCGGCTTTACCCACTACACCATAGCACTAGCCTACTGGCTCACTCTTATTTTCACCTTTAGCCCTTCTCTAAAGGCTGAAGTCTAGGATTTGTTCAGTCTTGACTCCTCTGGGGGTCAGTACTTATTCTGAATAGAAACCAAGATTTGTCTTGTTTTATTGTTTTTTGTCTCCCACAGTATCCTGCTGAGTTCTGGTCACGTGATATTTGTGATAAGTGCTTATCAATTGATTAATTTACAACAGGAGCACCACAGCCTCTACAGTTTTGCTTTAGTTAATTTTTTAATTATCTTCATTAAATGAGGAATGCAATTTAATTACATAGTTTTAAGCTTTTGAATGATCAGGTCTAATAGTCACACTATAATCATATTTGCGATTTTGGCTAGTTTAATGAGTACAAATCAACTTTTAAATATCTAAACCTGGATCTGTGATTGTGGCACAGCAGGCTTAGCCTCCACCTGCATCAACTACCGGAATCCCATATGGACACCTGTTCTGGTGCTGGCTGCTCCACTTCCAAGCCAGGTCCCTGCTGATGGCCTGGGAGAGCAACAGCAGATGGCCCAAGTCCCCGGTTCCTGCCATCCACACGGGAAACTCCTGGCCCTTTTCTTTGGCTTAGCTCAGCCCTGGCCTTTGTAGCTATTTGGGGAATGAACCAGTGGATGAAAGATGTTTCTCTCTGTCTCTGTCTCTCTTTCAAATAGCTAAAATAAAATAAAAAATTTAAACTTCCATTTATAAAATTAGATAGTTTTAATTAAATTTTGATTAAATGATTACCAGCTTAATTAAAATAGCAGCTGGTAATGGAGGTCCTTCAGGCAACATCAGTTTGCCCCCTCTTTCTGAATCTTGAGTTTTTCACCCTCTGTACTATTCTTTCTAATTGGCCCACAAGCAGGCCATCATCTTTCCATGTATACCTTCTTAATGGAATTTTCTTAATCACCCGTCTTAGACTAGCTACTACAAAGTACTTGAGAGAAGTTGTTTCAGCAGTTCTCAACCTCTGACATGCAAGAACATTGGCTGGGAATTTTGTTAAAATTTAACATTTGGATCTGAAAGTATCATCTTTTTTATCTGCAGTGAACTCTTAAAAAGTTGCACTAAGTCTTATAACTCTTATTTCCAATTATGTTAACCACACTGAAATTTATGGTTGCCATGTGGACTTCTCTCCTGCAATCCAAAAATCTTTATCAGGCATCTAAGCCAAACATCTCAACTTGGATGTCCAAAGTAATTCATTTACTTCCTCCCCTCCCTCCAACTTTCCTCTCACCTTGGGCCCACCCTGGCTGTCTTGCTTCTCAAATCTGTTTACAAAACCCTCAAACAGTACCACTCTTCCATTAGTTGTTCACGTGTAAAACCTGAAAAGCATCCTTGAGTCTTCTGTTAGTCCCATGTGTGAACAGTCATTAAGTTTTGCCAGTTCTCTTTCTTAAATCCTACGTAAATCTCCCTATTACTCTTATTCCATTTTTACCACTCTAGTCCAGATCATAAATTGGCTCTTAAACATATTTCTGTTTCTGTTTTCAAGTAAAGCCTAGTTTCTGCTCTCTAACCCAAGTAGTCTTACTCAGCCAGTGTTGTTTTTTTTTTTTCTGTGTTCATGGTACCCTTTATAGGATTAGATTCTTTAATGTTGTTTGTGAAACCATACATAATATGGACACCTAACTCATACCCTAGCCCATATATCTATAATTCCCATCCAATGCTGTGTACTTCAGCAATGCAGGGATCCAGCTAAGACAACACTTCCCCACTGAATTCTGAATCTTCATGAAAATGCTTTGTCTGCCTTGAATACTTTCCTCCCTTCTGTACCTGGTTAGCTCTCATTTAATTCAAGTTACAACTAAAACATGAGTTCTTCTTGAGGGCATCTTCGACCTCATAGATGAGGTGTGGAGCACCCATAGCGTAGTCCATACCTTTACATACTACCCTATCTAGCTGTCATAATTTATACTTGCCATTTAATTATCTCTTTCTCCCATTTACATTCTGGGAGGGCTGACTCAGCAGAAGTAGATCTAAGTATTAGGAGGACCGAAATGTAATTTGGGTACCCTCTTTAGAATAAAAAAATACACGTTACATATATGCAGCACATATATGCATATATAATATATTCTAATATATATGCATATATACATGTATGTACACCCAAACTCTTAGGTACAAATGTGAATATTCATTTGAAGCGAGAAATCACAACAAAGTGCCAAGGGCAGTGCCTGATACACATGAGGCGCTCAATAATGTTGAAGCAGTCTGTTGACTAAGTTTAAGTTATATTTGTCACACATGTGACATTCTACAAGTACCTCCCTGGTCATCTCCATTAGTCTATCTTTGGGCTTTATGCAAAAAGTCTATTTTACCTCTTTACTAAGTGACCAAAACTCTATTTTCACTGGAAATGTGCACAATTATCTTCTGTGTATGTGGTATACAAATTTATATAGATCTTGTAATTATAAAACTTTAAGATAAGTTTCAAATTATTTTGATTTTTTTTTTCTTCTTGAAGTCTCTGGGTGGGGAAAGCCATCTGTTTGCTGTTGTCTCTCTAATATACTTTTCGTGAACATTTATCTCAAATGAAAAAAGATTCTAATATTTTATGTAGTTTAAAAAACATATAAAATATTTTCCTTGGTAAGAATTTGTTTACAAGATACTGTTTAGGAGGTTATTTGGATCAAGACAATGCGGTAGCATTCAAAAGATAAGCTACTTGGCTTAAATATTTGGTGTTTAGTTGTTAAAATAAAAGTAAGTTTAGTTAAGTTCCTTTTATAATAACACTGTAATTTTGCCAAGAAGGTGCTGTGCTCATATCAAGATTGTCAGAGGGGTGTGTGCATGTGTGTGTGTGTGTGTCTGATCAATGCACACTTTCCCCCCATTTTCCTAAATACATCATGATAAAAGGATGAGGTTTCCGCCTTAATTGCTTGTGCCTTTTATTCACATTCCTCTCTCAGCCAGAATTGTGAAAAGAGTGTTAGTAAAAGGCTGCACAATAGAGCTTTTCATTAGGCCCCAGCAAGGCACACAAAAGAAGGCTTTTGGAAAGAGTGAATGCATGAGTTTAATTTGCAGGTGGAGAGTAGATAAAAGGTGCTGACGCCTCTATTATTCTCTTACTTAGGTGACCCTTACCCTGTTCAGCTGATCCCAACCACCATGGCAGCTGCCGCGGCCGCAGCAACACCAGGCTTAGGCCCACTCCAACTGCAGGTAAGTCAGGAAACAACTCCAGAGAGAAAAAGGTTAAGTAAATACCGACAACAGCTATTTGTTAAAGCAAAAGAACACTGACTAAGGGTATTTGTCTCATGCTTTTTTTGTTTCTGAATTTATTTGTGCTGATTCTCAACCAAAAGTTGAGATGTCGACTCTCTTCGGTTTTAGCCCTGTTTTCTGTGCTAGATGACTGGTTGCCTTTTCTCTCATTACCTGGTATGAAAGTGAGCTGTGGTTTTCCTTGGGTTATGTGCCATGGTTTCCCCACTGAATAGTCCCAATCAAGACACGAAAGAACCAAAACTCCGCTAAAGATATGCCAGGAGACATTTGTGTACCAAGACGCCCTACCAAATACATTCATTGCTGGTCAAGATGACTAGTGTGGTTGAAACAGGCTTTGGGCCCCTACGTCCTGTTGATGCCAGCAAGGAGAAGTTACCAAATAAGTAGGTGCTTAAATGGGCACAACTTTATTCCAGGCATCCCAGTTAATATGTATTCCTCCACAGCTGAGAATGTCAGTGATAACATTATCAGATGTCCAAGTGATTTTAAAATTTCATCTCTGGGTTGAAAAGAGAATCAATAAAAATTGTAATAAAGGTACTTTTCATCAACTGTTTAAATCTTTGAGCATCCTACAAAGTGTTCATTTCCACTGTTAAAGACTGTATAATGATGCAATTAATGAGAATAGAAGATCATCTAATAATAGGATTAGTCTCCTCTTTGGAGAAGTTTTATATATTCCATAGCTTGAATGACACAATATGCCTGTGAAATCAGATTTCAGCAGTTCTATTTAATAAAATTAAATTGTTCATGAAAGTGCATTGTCATGGTAGCTGCTTTTAGTCTATAAAGAAAGCATGGTTTTAAATTGTAGCATCAAGAGACAGATACATCTGGTCCGCACGTGGATTTATCAGTAGACCTGGTGGGGTTCTGAAAGACCAGTTGAGTTGCACAGGAGGAACCACCAGTGTGAAAGCTGAGACACACTGTGTTCTACTGAGGTTAATAACGTTCATTCCTATTCTCCCTTTTCTATGAAAGCCTACACTGTGTCTGTTTCTTTGAGCTGGAAATGCCTTGGGAAGTGTTGGAGCCATGGGGACAATAAAAGTAACATAACATTTGTTAGCCTTTGAAGTGGCGTCTGGGGAACAGCCACAATATGGAGAAGTGATTGTAATAGGTAAAACGGAAAAGAGTAGTGGAATTAAAGGAAGAGGGAAGAAGATCCAGCAATAGATTTCAGTGTGGGGACAGGAGATTCAGAGACGTATGATGTTGATTTTCAAAGTTAGTTAGATATCCTCGTTTCCTTTTGCCATTGGATTAGTAGGCAGGGAAAGTAAGGGGGCATTAGAGATCTCCCTCTCTCTTTGCAGGAGGTACAATGTGTATTAGAATATTTGAAACCAATGAAGATTCTAGAAAGATTTATTTATTTATTTGAAACCAGAGTTTCTAGAGAAAGAAAGAAGAAAAGGCACAGCGATAGGAAGACACACCTTCCATCCTCTAATTCTTTTCCCAGATGGCCACAACAACCGGGGCTGGGCCTTTCTGAGTCAAGATCCTGGAGCTTCATCCAGGTCTCCCACGTCAGTGGCAGGGGTCCAGGCACTCAGGTCATCCTCCATTGCTTTCCCTGGGCTCATTAGCAGGGAGATACATCAGAAGCCGAGCAGCTTAGGGCTTGCACTGGAGCTCATACTGGATGCCAGGGTTGCAGGAAGTGGCTCAACCTGTTGTTCCACAATGCCAGCCCCACAAGTGAAGTTTATTTCCATTCTTAAGTTACCAGACTCTCCTAAGTTTAATTTTTTTTAATATTTATTTATTTATTTATTTGAAAGGTAGAATTACAGAGTGAAAGAAGGAAAGATAGAGAGATCTTCTATCCTCTGGTTCACTCCCCAAATGGCTGCAACAGCCAGGGCTGTGTCAGGCCAAGCCAAGGAGCTGGGAGCTTCTTCTGGGTCTACTTCATGGGTGCAGGGGCCCAGGGACTTGGGCCGTCTTTGCTGCTTTCCCAGGTACATTAGCAGGGAGCTGGATCAGAAGTGGAACAGCTGGGATGCGAACTGGTGCCCATATGTGATACTGGCACTGCAGGCTGCAGCTTAGCCTGCTGCACCACAGCACCGGCCCCTAAAAATATTTTTTTAAAAATAGTTTACGTTAGTAGAAAATAAGAAAAGTTTTAGATACCAAACATATTAGCCCTTGCTTTAGCTATAATTTGATCTGTAAATGGGATGAAGTTCTTTTTACACAAGTGGTATTATGCCCATTAAAATTCTTAAATGCTAATTAGAATTTGAAATAATCAGCACTGTAGTATAACAAAAAATTAATAATCTAAAGCTTTTTCATGGAAAGCCATTGACCTTTGTTAAACATATTCACATAAACACACACACGTATTTTTTGCAATGAGAAAGAAAACTAAAAACAGTACTCATGTGTCAACACATTCTGAAAGTGCCATGACACAGAATCTGGTTTTTCTTGGGTTCACCGACTCTTACCTTTGCTAAGGTACCTACGCCAACTCACTTTTTCACTCATCCCCAACACTGTATTCTTAGACCTCTGACCTTGAATACAGCCTCTCCCAGAGCTACGAAGGAAAGCTGCTCCTCTCCTTCCCCTTGCTGTAAAACATCATCCACATTTGTTTTTCTTCTCCACAAATTTGCCCAGGTGGGTCAGAGAAAAGCTTACTACCACGCCTACTCAGAAGTCTTACCTTAATCCATACCCAACGTCCACCCTAAACTTGTAAACCTGTTTTTGAAAAGTTCCACCTTAGCAAATACAATGTGATTTGATTTTCTCCAACCTCTGCTTTTAATTATTCTCTGTATAATCTCCATTCCCATCTCTTAATGCTTTGAGTAGACACCATCAGTGTCCGGTCACTTTCTGCTAAGATTCAGCACTGCTGGCAGCTTTAATCTCATAGTCAATTCGCATCTCACTGTTTCCCTCTTGCCTCATTTAGCAGAACTTGCAGCTCTAGAGACCAGAAGGAAGACAGAGTGTGACTGATTTATCTGTTTCTTCAACTGCAAGGTGTGCAGATGTGGGTTAAGACAGTGGCTCTGCCACTGGGGCAACCTAGAGATTTTGTATGTTTAGATTTCTTGGGTATTGGTCAACTTTTTCTGCTCTGCTAAGAGAGGGATGAGTAGGTCTTTTGATCTATGCTTCCATCCCTCGTTCTGTTTGGCCCATCACAATCCTTGGTCAACAGCTTCCTGGGGAGCAAAACAGGTGCATCTTCTTTCATCCTCATGGTCTATCATGGAGAACCCTGAGTTCCTCTCCAGAGGTGTTCTCCTGTGCCCTGTAAGCACAGTGGTGGTATTATAACCTGAAGCAAACTCCCATGCCTTCTCCCTCAACCCAGTCCCAGCTTTAGTAAACTCCAAAAGAGAACACAGCAGCTGCCATGTCCTTAGTTACTTAGACCCCTGACCAGTGAGTGTCAAGTTCTCTTACGAGCTCTCTCATCATGTTTATGGCGGGTGAAGTTCAGGTTTGTGGCTCACCAATCAACCAGTTAAGGAACAACAAGCAAGTTTTTCCTTTATCTCTGGCCTCTCTAGTTTTTTGTTTGCTTATAAATTCTGCCTTTTCCCTTGCGCGCAAGGATTGGGTGGGGAGGAGCACCGTTCTTCAAGAACCAAGCTTTCCCATAAAGCTGCAGGCCCACGCCTCTGTTCCTGCACTTCCCTCACCAGACATGAGGCCGTATGTACTGTGGTGGTGGGAAAATGCGGGACGAAATGTAAGAGTTAAGGAGCAGCATGAGTAGGTATTGAAGAAAGATCAGTGGAGCCAGGTTTGAATAAGATGGTGGTGTAGATGGTGTCTAGCACCACTTGCTGCAGTCTTTCTTCAGACCCAGTAAAGAGTTTGTTGATGGCCTGTTTACATAATTACTTTGTTTTCTGTTGTTTAAGCCTCTCTTTGTGAAAAGCTCAGAGTTGTGTTTCATCAAGGTGTAGTAGGAAGGGTGGGCTGGAGTAGAGTGGGAACCAGTTGGGAGAACAACTGAAATAGCTTTGGCAAAGAAAAAAATGACACAAACTCATCCTCATCAGTGGCAGAGGGACTAGTGTGAGAAGTATATTTATATGTTATTCCCTTTTTTGGAGTTTAAAACATAATGAATCTTCACTCTTATAAAGGGCCAAAGCAATTGATGCCACTGTCTATCACTAGCCAGATTTTTTTGAAGATTGATCTTTTTATTTGAAGGCAGAATTACAGACACACACACACACACACACACACACACATACAAACACACAGAGAGACACGGGGAATTGATTGATTCTGTCCACTGGATCATGCCCCACATGGCCACAAGAGCTAGGGCTTGACCTGGCTGAAGTCAGGGGCCAAGAGATGAAGTCAGGAGCTCCATCTGTGCTGCCCAAGTGGGTGACAGGGTCCCAAATTCTTGGGCCATCTGCCATTGCTTTCCCAGGTGCAGTAGCATGGAGATGAATCAGAAGTGGAATAGCTGGGACTTGAACCAGCTTTCATATGGGATGTTGAGGTCACAGATAGCAGCTCAACCTGCTGTGCCATAATGCTGGCCCCCTAGTCATGATTTATGAAATACTTTTTCATTCTGGGTTCTCTGATAAATGCTTTACAAGGATTATCTCATTTAATTCTTATTATATTAATTTGTGTTATGTATTAATATTGCCAATTTGACAGAGAAGAAAGCTGGGTCAACAGAGTCCAAAATTCATTTGCTTCCGCAAGTACAGGAGATTTTACTTAAATCAAAAGACATTCGCTTTCTTAAGACATTTGCTCACTCAGTAATCAGCTAATCAAGTTATAATGCTATTTGGCAGTAATTCACATACCTGGTGTGCATTGCAGGCTGAAATGAGTAGCAGGATTCCTAACAATGGGTATCTACTTCAGTCTATGAATTTTCCATTTTATGCCTC